AAGACACTTCACGAAATTGGCCATAATGGACTAGCATCCCATCCAGGGGGAAGTAGGGAGTATTACTCTGGGTTGCTTCATGCTACAGAAACAGGGATAAGCTATGGTCTGATGGGCCTCTTGGCTCATATGCAGACTTTACCTTTTTGAGATAAATAAATTTGCACATGTTAGTGCAGTTTCAGAATAGCCAACAAAAATACAATGAGCCCAAAAATCATTTCTTAATAGTTATACAGTCAGGTGCGGATCCATGCCATTTCCATCGTTTTTTTTAAATCGGCCACATTTTTCAGAATGACTTTGAAACCCAGGAAAGGGGACTTGAGGGAGAGCATAGCTCTCCTCCCCCCAGAAGCTTGTGCCTTTGGCACTTGTTTTTTTGGAAATCAGTCACCATTTGCTCTTGAACCATGCCGTGCAAATTTTCATAGCAGAAGTTCATTCTGGTGACTCTACATTGCAAAAATAATCTATCTTTAATCTTTGAACCTTGAGCTTTGGGTAGCATAGTTGGTTTGTCCTAGTACAATACTGGATAGTATTGCCCAGGGTTGCCACGGTCAGGAAAAAGTGAGGCAAAATTAGATTTTATTCAAGGTCAGGGAAAGTCAGGGAGTTTTGTATCTGGTCAGGGAGTTTCTAAATCCCTGTTCAAAGTCAGTGAAAAGTCAGGGAATTTTATCTTAAGGTTGCTGCAAATTATTTTATTAGATGTTTTCTTATAGACAAGGCAATTTTGTTTAAAAAATTATTTGAGCCATCCTTATTTTTGTTGATTCATGGCCAGAATAATCATCTTGCATGGTCAGTGAAAATTGCTTTACAGTCAATGAAAAGTCAGGGAAAAGTCAGGGATTTTTTTGCTCCGGTGGGTGGCAACTGTGCTGTTACTTTTCCAGTGGAGTGTGTCATCCATCCTTCCTTTTCTGGTCTTTGCGTGATCTTTATTTCTTACCATTACCTTTTGATTTTTTGTCTCATTGTTGACCTGTTCCTTCTCAGCATGCATAAATAATAATGAAAGATATTGCAGAGAATCCTTAACTTTGCATGTGCTTTGTGTAACTTTGCAGCATCAAAATTAAATAATAATAATTATTAGTGAAGTGCATAGTCGGATGGATTTTTAGTTAGTTAGTTTTCTTTTAAAAAAATTCTTATTAAACTGATCCTTTGTCATTCTAAAGTTTCCCCCTAACAACAGTTCCCTGACAAAAAAAAAATAACTGCAATGTGAACTTTAGTACAACTAGTTTTTAAAGAGAGCCTTTTAGTTTCAACCAGCTGAAGATTAACATTCTGGGTTACTTGCAGGAAAAGGCAGAAGCTGAAGGGAACAGTAAACGAGATAAGGAGCTCCTTCAAAGGGTGAGAATTTTCATCGCTAAGTTAGTGCACTAGAAGTTTTTTTGAACAGAGTATAGCATATGACCATCACCTCTGTATTACTATGTTTACTTATTCTTGCACTTTGTTAATAACTTAATAGCCAAACTATGTTTCAGACTTCGCTTCTATTGAAGATCAATATTAATTTTTATGAAACTTGACCTAAAATTTGACTTTTGATTGAATTAATGATCAATGTTGCCCATGTTGTGCAAAGCATGTGAGATTTTGAGGTTACCTTAATTCCTTGTTCGTGGCTTATGGATCGGGTCCCAGTTGTTTGAAAGATGGATAACGCTATCCGCCGGATAAATCACTATCCAGTGGATAAGTGTTAACAAAACAGACCACGCTATCCACTGGATAGTGATTTATCCGATGGATAGCATTATCCACCTTTCGAATATGATAACTTACATTGAAGGCTGAAATATAAACTCTAAGACTTCAACATTTTAAGAACAAAGTGCGCTTAGGCACAAATGTTTCTGAGTCATGACTAAGGCAACCAGAGGTCCAAATCTGGGTACAACCAGACTGAAAAACTGTTCCCTTCTTTGATGTGCAGCACTGTATGGTTTTAAAATCATGGGTGACAAATTGTAAAATGCTAACATATGAGCTTTCGAACTCATTGGTATGGAGTAGTAGGACTTCAAAACAAAAACATCAAATTCTGACTGTGATCTCCATGGTTTCAAAAAATTTTGGTAAGTCCCAAATGTCATGTGCATTACTACTATCAAGATTATTAGAATTACAGGCATGCTGCCTAGTATTAATTATAATACGTGTTGTTCTTACTATTTGTTTTTTTCACCAGATGTTGGTGGAATATGATGTGTTAGCCAGGGATCACCAGGATGCTTATGTGAGTTTTATTATTTTAGTTAACTTTTGTCAGTGGTGACAAGTGTTATTTATTTTTTTTTATTGTGACTGGAAAGAGAGGAGGCAAGGCAAAATGGTCATATAAATATATAGATTTAGGCTAGCCGAAAAGCGTAGCTCCTGGGCCAGGTTGTTCAGAGCTCGATTAAGCCAACCCAGGAAAAGGTAAAATTTTAATTTGAGTTTTGTAACTTTGCGATGAGGTTTTCTGTATATAGTTTGGCCTTCTGTTTTGAGTTTTAATAATCACCATATACACAAACCAAAGCAGCAAAAGACATTTGTATAGAAGAAAAAGTTATAATTCGGTTAACTTTTAATCCTGGGTTAGCGTTAACTGGCTTCCGAACAATCCTGCCCTGTTTTC